GATACCAAGTGATAGCTGTACCTATTTTGATAGGACCCAGCTACATAGAGTCGAAGCCCATCTTACAGAGCTCAGTTCTTCTGAGGGCAAGTGGTAGGGTGCTTCGATGCGGGGGGGGGGGAGTTCGATGACCTTGCGACTTTTGAAGGTAAAGAGGATGCTCGGGGGCAAAGTACGAGGAGACTTTGATACTTAATTATCTACTTGGTCTAATTATCCTTGATTTACTAAAATCCTTTTTTCATGCCCGTTCCAATCTCCTCCGTTTTCCTTGGTATATAAGAACTAGTTTATTTTCTCACCTCCTCAACGCAAAAACAATGAAAAAAAAACAAAACTATGCGTATCGCCTTCCATCAAAACGGTTATACAAAAAAGATTTGATGACACTTTACATCCGCTGTTCCAACTTGTCACTATACTTCAGGATCGGCATTGCTTATTCGCTCTGAATGCCGTCCTCGGAAACTCACCTACTCTTAGTATCTGCTTTATCTGGAGTGTGGCTTATAATTCACAGGCGGCCGGACATAGGCCATGACCACTCTGATTCATCTGATGTGATCAGTTTCAGTGCATTCTAGGGGTGGTTTAGTGTTGGGGCTTGCGTTTTTTCAGAATTTTTGTATGTGAAACTGTTAGCCATTACACATTAAGCAAACAGTGCTTGTGAGTCCTGCTGGAGAGTCTTTTCAGGCTGCCACTCTGGCTGACAGATGGGTCTCATGTCAGTACACATGGAGATATAGTTTTCAAAATGTTGAAAGTGCGAAACCTGTCTCTTTATGTCGAAAACCTGTTCAATTCAAATGCCCTATTTAGGTGAAAAACTATCTCTCAGTTCGGCTGCAGCATTATTAAAGTATTAATGGTGGCAAGTGCTTATCCCAATTTGTTCCGTCAGGTAACTGAACTATCCTTATTGGCCTCTGATCCAGGATGAGGCTTCATTGACATGTTTTTGCAGTATATCTCCCATTGGTTTTTTCATGTCACATGCGACGTTCACCAATTAGTGGCTTCCAGTTATAGATTTCACATTTCTACTTTGATGACGTTAACACTTCTGATTTGTAGGGTGAGCTCCCAGCTTTTTCATATATTCCGAGTCGGGTTTTAACTGTTTAATCGGGTTTCTGAAGGGGACCTTAGCGTGTTTGCATATCAGATGTTTGGATTGTGGAGAGGAGGTCTTTACTTTATCACAAGCTATTAATCTATTAAGCGTGCCTTTCTCCCCTATCTCTTTCGTACTTTTGGTTTTTGACTTCTCGTACCATCCTTCTTCGTATAAATTCCTCACTCTATATCGTTCCACTCTATTCTCCTCTTCTTCTTGGGCCATTGCTCCTCCTTCTAGAAGGTTCGTAAGGATATTTACTTATCCTATACAATTCCAAACAAAGTTCTCTATCATCTTCTCGATCCTATTCAATGCACTGCTTTTCACTTTCATGTTAATCTACTTCACACAATATTTATTACCCATCGTTTCTATATATATATATGTCTATTTTTGCTCTCCAGTTGATATGGAGACTCTTCTTGGCACTCATATCCCACATTCTAAGTACCTCTCAAATAATAAATGTCACCTTTGTTTATCCTCACATTCCATATCCTTCTTACTCTTCTTTCTCGCATCTATGGCTCTTTTCCCTTGCCTATCTAACTAGAGATTTCTTCCTCTAGTTTCACCTTCCTTTTTTCCTCTTTAGTTTCCTTTCCCTTTCCTCCCGATCCTCTATCACTCAGCATGGAATCTGTATCTTGGTTTCTCTCTACACTTCAGAGTTGCCATTTTTGCAGGAGGTCTCGAAGCCTGGTTGAACCGCTGGGACTCGCTGAGTCGCTATGGCCCTGGATGAGAGGACTTTGACTTTTTTGGATTCTCCAGATTTCTTTTTTGAGGCTCTTTTCAGTGTCTGTCCAAGCACTTGGCATCAAATCCTTCTTTTCTACTCCTTCCCCCTTTTTTTTTTTCCTTCCTCCAGGGACTGCTGGCCCTCGCTGTTTTATCCTTCAACCTTTTCCCTCGCCCTGTCTTTTTTTCTGTTTCGCTCTGCGTTTTTTTTCCACCCACCCTCTTATCCCCTACTTCCTCCAATTGGTTATCTCATTCAATACATTATTTGCAGCTTTATGTTGTTGTTTCCTTTCCAGTATACTTTTGCGAGGTGATACCCCTCTCCTTAGCTTTTTTTTGCCCTCGGGGCCCTTTGGGTGAACCCCGGTATTTTTTACTAGCTTATATCTGGTTGCATTTCATTTTTCCATGTTTATATGCATATGCTGGAGGCATACTGGTCGCCTCCCGCAGGGGTATTGTGACGGGAGTCACTTTCGGTGGGGGCCCATGGAACACAGCTCACTTTGGAGAGGTGGGGAGACCCCTGTCTCAGCTCCCCATATCCTTCTTATGTGTAAGTCACCCTGTGCCTGTTAGGGGTACAGGGTGATCTGTCCTAATATTTGGGGGTGGGGGGTTGTTGATTGTTTAATGTCATGTGGTTGCATCCCATTGTTGTATTGTGTGTCTTGCTTGGGAGAAAACTATTATGGGATGTATGTGTTTATGTGTATTAGCTTAGTTGGGGGGGATGGGGGGTGTGTCTACAGCAGCCCTCCCTCCTGATGGGACTGTCTGCTGGTGTGAAGTTTGAATACCTGTGTGTCTCTAGATGCTAAGTGTAGGTTGCCCCGCCCTGTGTCCTTATGCAGGGAGGGGGGATTGCCCCCTGAGTGTGTAAAAAGCCAGTTTGAGTTCAAATAAAGAGTTCCATGTTCAGCCAGATTGGTGTCGTCTAGTCTTGTACATGGGTTGAATTACAAACAAATTTCTTTTTAGAAAATCAGAAATTTTGTGCATTTTATTATCATATGGTCCCACAATTGATTTCAAAATCTGACCAACCAAGCCTTTAAAGTGTTACTAAACCACAACAGTACAATCTGTCTGTATATGCAGTAAAGCATTCTTGTTATTCTCACTGTGGAACCTAAGGGGGTTGTCTAAAAACGCTGTTTGATCCTGTCTTCTCTGATCCTCCCCTTCTTCCAGTGTCCCCCCTCTTATCTCCTGATAAGACATATAGTGTGGAGACCTCTGTACATGCTCAGTTTGTTGTGTATTGCTAGAGAGGTTGTTTTTTTTTTTTCTTGGGAGAGTGATCAGCACAGGGCCAATCAGCACTGTTCAAACAAAGGTCCCAGGGTCCTGCATCCACCTAGAGCAGAAAGAAAGCTCCTCCCACAAGCTGTAACGTGCTCTGTTGGACACTGATAGAAGTCACAAGATTGTTATATACTGCTGAGGAGAAAAGGGTATTTAGGCATTTTATATTTACTAAAATAATTGAAGTTCCATGTGTGTACTGTGGGAGACCAGGATATAGTGAATGCAGGGGTCCGGGGGAGAGCGGATATAGTGAATGCAGGGTCCGGGGAGAGCGGATATATAGTGAATGCGGGGTCCGGGGAGAGCTGGGATATAGTGAATGCGGGGTCCGGGGAGACCGGATATAGTGAATGCGGGGTCCGGGGAGAGCGGATATAGTGAATGCGGGTTCCGGGGAGACCGGATATAGTGAATGCGGGTTCCGGGGAGACCGGATATAGTGAATGCGGGGTCCGGGGGAGACCTGGATATAGTGAATGCGGGGTCCGGGGAGGACCCCGGACGGGGGGATATAGTGAATGCGGGGTCCGGGGAGACCGGAATATAGTGAATGCGGGGTCCGGGGAGACCGGATATAGTGAATGCGGGGGTCCGGGGGGAGACCGGATATAGTGAATCGCGGGGTCCGGGAAGACCGGGATATAGTGAACGCGGGGTCCGGGGAGTGCGAGCGGATATAGTGAACGCGGGGTCCGGGGGGGAGAGCGGATATAGTGAACGCGGGGTCCGGGGAGAGCGGATATAGTGTGAACGCGGGGTCCGGGGGAGGGAGCGGGATATAGTGAACGCGGGGGTCCGGGGGAGAGCGGCGGATATAGTGAAGCCGCCGCGGGGTCCGGGGAGAGCGGATATAGTGAACGCAAGGGGTCCGGGGAGAGCGGGATATAGTGAACGCGGGGGTTCCGTGGGGAGAGGGGATATAGTGGATGAAGAGTCCGGGGTTTAGTAACACTTTAATTTCACGTCATGTTGCTTCAGAAAATCATTTTTGGTGGCCAGAATTTCTTTTCTTTCCAGGTCACAGCTCGCACGCTCATTTCTTTTTCAGTTACATTTCTTGCACGATTCTTTCATCATTGATTAGAAATTCATTTGTTTTTTTAACAAAAAATTTCCAACATACCCAATCACTCAAATTCAATGGTTGCTCGAAAATCGGCCATTGCTGTGGCCCACTAATAGTGCAAAGTTTGAACAAAAATTCTTAGAAACATTTTTTAAATTCTTTTGGAATTGGACCCGTGTATGGCCGGCTTTATTCTGCAAGAAACCCTTTCTGGTTTTGCAAATGGACAAAATGGTGCTGAGGCCAAGGACCTCATGATTGTTTAAGGTACTCTAGTTTCTGCCTTTCACCTCACGATGGTGTTTTGTTTCCCTATGTTTGGGGCTCCAGAAGGAATCTCCCTCCAGTGACTGGATGGGGTTCGCTCTGTGAGAGTCTTTCAGCCACGGATTCCTTTAGTAAGGTTCATTCTTGTTCCAACCATCTCTGGGGGAGTCAGGCAGAACCTCCGGAGATGACCTTGTTGGTGTGCTGGACCTTCATCATGATCAAATAGGCAGACTGAGGCAGGACCTAGACCAGAATGTAATGCTTTACTACAGTGGAGATGGTGGATACTGGGGTGTCTGGAAGGTGAAACGTTTTTCCCCGGAATTCTTCTTTAAGCTTTGCTTTAGGAAATCGCTTTATTTTTGTGGAGGGTAATATATAGTTCCTTTTTGTACCGCCTCACCATAAACTGATGGTAATAAACCTGTAATGGACAGTGTTGCTCCTGAAACAAGCAGAGACTGAATCCTTCTTCTTTTCCTTCAGGATACAGAATATGCGAATGATAGATGGAAAGCCTGAGTACAGGAATGGATTGGTGAGTGGATTTACATTGTTGGATGTTTGCAGTTCAAACACCTATATTTAAATGATGGCCTGGCCAGCTTATGGACGATTGAAGGAGCCCCCGAACAGTGACAAGTATTTCAGGAGAGGAGAGTTAGAGGAAGGAGCGGAGTCCTCCATCAGAGCAGAGTATTTCAGGAGAGGAGCGCTATAGAGGGATGGAGCGGAGTCCTCCAGCAGAGCAGAGTATTTCAGGAGAGGAGCGCTATAGAGGAAGGAGCGGAGTCCTCCAGCAGAGCAGAGTATTTCAGGAGAGGAGAGTTATAGAGGAAGGAGCGGAGTCCTCCAGCAGCGCAGAGTATTTCAGGAGAGGAGCGCTATAGAGGAAGGGGCGGAGTCCTCCAGCAGAGCAGAGTATTTCAGGGAGAGGAGCGCTATAGAGGAAGGAGCGGAGTCCTCCAGCAGTGCAGAGTATTTCAGGAGAGGAGAGTTATAGAGGAAGGAGCGGAGTCCTCCAGCAGCGCAGAGTATTTCTGGAGAGGAGCGCTATAGAGGAAGGGGCGGAGTCCTCCAGCAGCGCAGAGTATTTCAGGAGAGGAGCGCTATAGAGGAAGGAGCGGAGTCCTCCAGCAGTGCAGAGTATTTCAGGAGAGGAGAGTTATAGAGGAAGGAGCAGAGTCCTCCAGCAGTACAGAGTATTTCAGGGAGAGGAGAGTTATAGAGGAAGGAGCGGAGTCCTCCAGCAGTGCAGAGTATTTCAGATGAGAGGAGAGTTATAGAGGAAGGAGCGGAGTCCTCCAGCAGAGCAGAGTATTTCAGGAGAGGGAGAGCTATAGAGGAAGGAGCGGAGTCCTCCATCAGAGCAGAGTATTTCAGGAGAGGAGAGTTATAGAGGAAGGAGCGGAAGTCCTCCAGCAGTGCAGAGTATTTCAGGAGAGGAACGTTGGATTAGAGAAAGGAGCAGAGTCCTGCAGCAGCAGTGCAGAGTATTTCAGGAGAGTTATAGAGGAAGGAGTAGAGTCCTCCCAGAAGAGCAGAGTATTACAGGAGAGGAGCACTATAGAGGAAGGAGCGGAGAGTCCTCCAGTAGAGCAGAGTATTTTAGGAGAGGAGAGTTAGAGGAAGGAGCAGAGCAGAGTATTTCAGGAAAGGAAGGAGCAGAGTCCTCCAGCAGAGCAGGAGTATTTTAGGAGAGAGGAAGGTTAGAGGAAGGAGCAGTGTGTTTCAGGAGAGGAGGAGCAGAGTCCTCCAGCAGTATATAGTATTTCAGGAAAGGAAGGAGCAGAGTCCTCCAGCAGAGCAGAGTATTTTAGGAGAGGGAGGGTTAGAGGAAGGAGCAGAGCAGAGTATTTCAGGAGAGGAAGGAGCAGAGTCCTCCAGCAGTGCAGAGTATTTCAGGAGAGGAGAGTTATAGAGGAAGGAGCAGAGTCCTCCAGCAGTCCAGAGTATTTCAGGAGAGGAGAGTTATAGAGGAACAAGCAGAGTCCTTCAGTGGTGAAGATGATTTCAGGAGAGGAGAGTTAGAGGAAGGAGCAGAGTATTTCAGAAAGGGAAGTAGCAGAGAGTCCTCCAGCAGTGCAGAATATTTCAGGAGGGGGAGAGTTAGAGGAAGGAGCAGAGTCCTCCAGTAGAGCAGAGTATTTTAGGAGAGGAGGGTTAGAGGAAGGAGCAGAGCAGAGTATTTCAGGAAAGGAAAGAGCAGAGTCCTCCAGCAGTGCAGAGTATTTCCAGGAAGGGAGCGTTATAGAGGAATGAGCAGACTCCTCTAGCAGAGCAGAGTATTTCAGGAGAGGAGCGCGCTATAGAGGAAGGAGCGGAGTCCTCCAGCAGCGCAGAGTATTTCAGGAGAGGGAGCGCTATAGAGGAAGGAGCGGAGTCCTCCAGCAGTGCAGAGTATTTCAGGAGAGGAGAGTTATAGAGGAAGGAGCGGAGTCCTCCAGCAGTGCAGGTATTTCAGGGAGGAGAGTTTATAGAGGAAGGAGCGGGAGTCCTCCATCAGAGCAGAGGATTTCAGGAGAGGAGAGCTATAGAGGAAGGAGCGGAGTCCTCCATCAGAGCAGAGTATTTCAGGAGAGGAGAGTTATAGAGGAAGGAGAGGGAGTCCTCCAGCAGTACAGAGTATTTCAGGAGAGGAACGTTGGATAGAGAAAGGAGCAGAGTCCTGCAGCAGTGCAGAGTATTTCAGGAGAGTTATAGAGGAAGGAGTAGAGTCCTCCCAGAAGAGCAGAGTATTACAGGAGAGGAGCGCTATAGAGGAAGGAGTGGAGTCCTCCAGTAGAGCAGAGTATTTTAGGAGTGGAGAGTTAGAGGAAGGAGCAGAGCAGAGTATTTCAGGAAAGGAAGGAGCAGAGTCCTCCAGCGGAGCAGAGTATTTTAGGAGAGAGGAAGGTTAGAGGAAGGAGCAGTGTGTTTCAGGAAAGGAAGGAGCAGAGTCCTCCAGCAGAGCAGAGTATTTTAGGAGAGGAGGGTTAGAGGAAGGAGCAGAGCAGAGTATTTCAGGAGAGGAAGGAGCAGAGTCCTCCAGCAGTCCAGAGTATTTCAGGAGAGGAGAGTTATAGAGGAACAAGCAGAGTCCTTCAGTGGTGAAGATGATTTCAGGAGAGGAGAGTTAGAGGAAGGAGCAGAGTATTTCAGAAAGGAAGGAGCAGAGTCCTCCAGCAGTGCAGAATATTTCAGGAGGGGAGAGTTAGAGGAAGGAGCAGAGTCCTCCAGTAGAGCAGAGTATTTTAGGAGAGGAGGGTTAGAGGAAGGAGCAGAGCAGAGTATTTCAGGAAAGGAAAGAGCAGAGTCTCCAGCAGTGCAGAGTATTTCAGGAAGGGAGCGTTATAGAGGAATGAGCAGACTCCTCTAGCAGTGCAGAGTATTTCAGGAGAGGAAGGTGCAGAGTCCTTCAGCAGTGCAGAGTATTTCAGGAGAGGAAGGAGTAGACTCCTCCAGCAGTGCAGAGTATTTCAGGAGAGGAAGGTGCAGAGTCCTTCAGCAGTGCAGAGTATTTCAGGAGAGGAAGGAGTAGACTCCTTCAGCAGTGCAGAGTATTTCAGGAGAAGGGGTTATAGAAGAAGGAGCAGAGCCCTCCAGCAGAGTATTTCAGGAGAGGAGAGTTTTAGAGGAAGGAGCAGAGCCCTCCCTCAGAGCAGAGTATTTCAGGAGAGGAAGGAGCAGAGTCCTCCAGCAGAGCAGAGTATTTCAGGAGAGGAAGGAGCAGACTCCTCCAGCAGAGCAGAGTATTTCAGGAGAGGAAGGAGCAGAGTCCTCCAGCAGAGCAGAGTATTTCAGGAGAGGAAGGAGCAGAGTCCTCCAGCAGAGTATTTCAGGAGAGGAAGGAGCAGAGTCCTCCAGCAGAGTATTTCAGGAGAGGAAGGAGCAGAGCTCCTCCAGCAGAGTATTTCAGGGAGAGGAAGGAGCAGAGTCCTCCAGAAGCAGAAAGCCATGATCTGAGGTTCCACTTTGTTGACAAACATTTGTTTTCATATGTTTTCTTTCTTCTGTTCATCTATAAAACTCTCGCCCCCCTCCCAGGATGTCCTTATGAAGGTGGTGCGGTATGAAGGATTCTTCAGCCTCTGGAAAGGCTTCACCCCTTACTACGCCCGGCTGGGACCCCACACTGTTCTGACCTTCATCTTCCTAGAACAGATGAACAAATACTATAAGAAGTTTTTCCTGAGTGGATGATAAGACTTTGCACCCCCATTTATTTATCTGGCATACAGACCCACATCCTGGAACCAATTTCCCCCATCCCCCTCCTCCTACCAAGCAAATGACAAAGGGAGTCCCAAAACATCCCCTGGGCCCTTTTGGTTTACATTGTGTAACAAGTGTGCAATAGCGGGGGAGGGGGCTCTGTCTTAATAAGTCGCTTTAAAGCAGAACTCCGTTAAGCACTTAATGTGACCCCCATTGTATTTTTTTGAAAGACCCAACAATTTTTATAGTGCCCCCATGGCTTTAAACGCCGGGTACATGTGCATACATTTGACACTGTTTATTTTGCTCTTAGAAAATGCACAACCCTTTCTGTGGTGGAGGGGGGGGAGTCTATTTGTGGTGGCTTTAGCAGCCAGGCACACTTTTTGTAAATTTTAGGCTCCAACGCATAGCTTATGAAGGTGTCTGGTACCAAAACTGCATTTTAGATACTCTCCTACCTTGCCAGGAGATGAGGCTATAGTATTAGTGATGTCCAAAGCCTTTTGTTCTCAAAAAACACATCTTGCTTTTTGGGTTTTCTTAGTTAGACTGGTGTTCTTCTTTCTATGTCTGCACAATCACACAGGGGTCTCTCTCTGCAGCAAAGAGTTACCGCAATTTAAAGGGGAACTCCGGACTGGTATGACACATGGGCAGGAGAAGCAGAAAACGCATAGTATGTAATTTATTGGCACCTCTAGCAATCATCCAATCTGCTTCCTCGACATTGCCAAGTTCTGAGACCTGCAGTCAGAGCTACTGTCTTCTCCCAACTAGGAGGAGCCTCTCACAGCAAGGGAGGGGAGTCTCAGTGAAGGAGGAGCTTCCACAGCATGGGAGGGGACTCTCAGTGAAGGAGGAGCTTCCACAGCAAGGGAGGCGAATCTCAGTGAAGGAAGAGCTTCCACAGCAAGGGAGGGGACTTTCAGTGATGGAGGAGCTTCCACAGCAAGGGAGGGGACTTTCAGTGATGGAGGAGCTTCCACAGCAAGGGAGGGGACTTTCAGTGATATAGGAGCTTCCACAGCAAGGGAGGGGACTTTCAGTGATGGAGGAGCTTCCACAGCATGGGAGGGGACTCTCAGTGAAGGAGGAGCTTCCACAGCAAGGGAGGCGAATCTCAGTGAAGGAAGAGCTTCCACAGCAAGGGAGGGGACTTTCAGTGATGGAGGAGCTTCCACAGCAAGGGAGAGGACTTTCAGTGATATAGGAGCTTCCACAGCAAGGGAGGGGACTTTCAGTGATGGAGGAGCTTCCACAGCAAGGGAGGGGACTTTCAGTGATGGAGGAGCTTCCACAGCAAGGGAGGGGACTCTCAGTGAAGGAGGAACTTCCAAAGCAAGGGAGGGACTTTCAGTGAAGGAGGAGCTTCCACTGCAAGGGAGGGGACTTTCAGTGAAGGAGGAACTTCCACAGCAAGGGAGGGAACTTTCAGTGAAGGAGGAGCTCCCACAGCAAGGGAGGGGACTTTCAGTGAAGGAGGAGCTTCCACAGCAAGGGAGGGACCTCTTGAGTGAGAAAGTGCCTTCCATAGTGAGGGAGCAGCACTACTGAAGCAAGATTTACCATAGACCGAGGACATAGAGGTGAGCATAATCTACCCACTGCAGTATTCCTGCTTCTTCTACCCAGTTTCCACCAAATCCTCACTTAGCTATATTCATCAGAACGGAGTTTTCTCCTTTAAATGGTTATTTTGGAGCGACCTCAGCCAAAGCCATCCTTTTTTTTTATCGACTGTTTCTTGAGACGGTTTTCTTTGTTGGGGTATTATATTATTATTGCTGATAAATTATATTTATGGAAAGTGAAATGCAGACCTGTAACTTCTTATGAACGACGAGATTCCAGTATATAAACTGCGATTTGTCCTTATTATTCGGTCATGCTTTTGTTTTCTTTACTTTTTATTTTTGCGGCTTGAAATCTACACCTAACACCACCTACTGCTCATATTGACTTGTTGAAAAGTGAAATGTGTTTATTAAAAAAAAAAAACAATTATAATAAATCCTGCTTTTATAAATAAAGCTGAATTTGGGTACAGAAACTTAAATATAAATTCATTCTGTGTGTACCAAATGCCTTTGCAAACCCAGGTATGATTTTGTAAAGGTAGCAGTGACATCACTGTGCTATACAAAGCCTGTGCAGATGTCACAGCTGTGGGAGGGACCCAGGAGGCCCAACCCGCTATAAACTATCTGTAGACAGGAGGGGGCGGAGACGAGACCAGTCACTCTGCACATGGAGAGAGAGAAGCAGTGACCGGTCTCTATTACAGGAAAAAAGGTTTTAGGATTACTGCAACAAGCCTGGAATTAGTCCACAAAGCACACCAAGGTTCGACTCCGACTACACATGACTCTTGTATTTACAATACAAAATGCATTTTTTTAAACTGGATTTCAGCTTTAGGGCCCATGTACACTGCAGCTGATAAACTCACGTTTAGGAGCTGTTGAGCGTTTTTTTTTTTTCAGCAGCCCCTGAACTCCCCCTAATGTTTTCCTATGTGTCCGTGTACACTATGACGTTTACAGGCACTTGAGTTTACAGTCGTTTTTTTGAGCACAGAAAATTTGCGTGCAGCGGTCGATTTTATCAGCGTTTCAAATGCAAAACGCTTGTAAATGCTGCAAATTGCGTTAATAAGCGTTTGCGTCTGAAAATTCTTTTTTTTTTTAACTCTTCCAGTTCCCAATGCTGTCCAGAGCCTTTTTTCATCATGAAAATTGCATGCAAAGCGATTTCAAGGTACTCAAATGGACAAAACACTGAACACAGGATGTTCCTACCAAGCCTGTCACACATTGTAATGACCAATTCACACCTCAGACCTCTCCCACCGTTGGAAACAATAGATATGTTAATGACCATTCACACCTCAGACCTCTCCCACCATTGGAAACAATAGATATGTTAATGACCATTCACACCTCAGACCTCTCCCACCCTTGGAAACAAAAGATATGTTAATAACCATTCACACCTCAGACCCCTCCCGCCCTGGGAAACAATAGATATGTTAATGACCATTCACACTTTAGACCCCTCCCACCCTGGGAAACAATAGATATGTTAATAACCATTCACACTTTAGACCTCTCCCATCCTTGGAAACAAAAGATATGTTAATGACCATTCACACCTCAGACCCCTCCCACCCTGGGAAACAATAGATATGTTAATGACCATTCACACCTCAGACCCCTCCCACCCTGGGAAACAATAGATATGTTAATAACCATTCACACTTTAGACCTCTCCCATCCTTGGAAACAAAAGATATGTTAATGACCATTCACACCTCAGACCCCTCCCACCCTGGGAAACAATAGATATGTTAATGACCATTCACACCTCAGACCCCTCCCACCCTGGGAAACAATAGATATGTTAATAACCATTCACACTTTAGACCCCTCCCACCCTGGGAAACAATAGATATGTTAATAACCATTCACACTTTAGACCTCTCCCATCCTTGGAAACAAAAGATATGTTAATGACCATTCACACCTCAGACCTCTCCCACCCTTGGAAACAAAAGATATGTTAATGACCAATCACATCTCAAATTCCTCATGAAGACCCCCTGCCAGGTGACCTTAATGACCTCCTCCACCAGACACCTTTCCCACCCTTGGAAACAAAAGAAATGTTAATGAGCAACTCGCACCTAGCTAATCTCAACACATACTACTGTCTCTGCTTCTACTCTCTGTATTTCGCTGAAAAAAAAACACTTCTAAATGCACATAAACATAAACGCGTTATGCAAACGCGGCTAAACAGACATTTTTTAACCCACATTTTCCAGCAGTCAGTTTCCATCGTTCAGAAGTGTCCCGTGTACATGGGGCCTTAATGTGGGGAAAAGCTTACCTTTCCTTCAACAGTCCCTGATCATTGGCATCTTTTGCCATCTTCATTGGCAGAACCTGCTGCTGCTCGAGTCCCTGTGTGAACCGAGGGACAGAGGGGAGAAGAGAAGCAACTGTGTACAGCGCTGGATCTCTTCTCCCCTCTTTTCCTCTTCTCACAGGGAAAGAGGGGGGGGACAGAAAAAAATATAAAACAAGGAATGCATGAAGGTTAAACGTTTTTGGCTTTACAAATCACTTTAAAGCACATTTGAACTCTCAGAAATAGGTATTTAGTCGTATGGACATTGTAACTTGCAATTTGATATTGTTACTTCCATTTTTCTGTTGTGGTAGTTCAAAATTCTATCTAAAGATGACCGCGCACGTTCAACAGGCACCGGAGTTTGACCATATGAGAGAGGGGGATATTTTTAAAGTGTTTCAAAGCGAAAATCATAATCACAAAAATCATAACAGCAGTACAGGACTAGAACGATGAAAAAGGTGCAAGTCTTCAAATGGGCTTTAAAATGACACCCTGGGGGCTAAGATTTACTAAAACTGTAACCCTCGGAATCTGGGGCAGCTGTGCATGGGAGCCAATCAGCTTCTAACTTCAGCTTGCTCAATTAAACTTTGGCGATAAAACCTGCGAACGGATTGGTTTATATGCAGAGCTGCACCAGGTTTTGCACAATCAACAACATTTATAGGTAAAGTTGATCCAGGGAATATCCGATTGCCTCTCGGGGGATCAGGAAGGAATTTTTTTTCCCTGCAGGAGCAAATTGGATCGTGCTTTGCTGGGTTTTTTTTTTCCTTCCTTCCTCTGGATCAACTGTGGGTGTAGGATTATAACTTTTTTTTTTATTTTATTTAATGGTTGAACTAGATGGACTTTTTTCAGCCAGACGAACTATGTAACTATGTACCACTAGGTGATGGGTAGCAAGCGAGCGCACGATTCTTTCAAGCAGATAGCATCAAAGGATGAACCCCTATATTCTCAACTGTGACTAAAATAAATAATTCAGCGCTTAATTCATGAAAGTGACAATATATAAAAGTGAAGCGCAAAATGATTGAGCGCTGGAGTGACCACAGAACATAAAG